CTCCACAGCGTGGCCCTGTGAGCATGCGCAATGCGCGTTTCGGAAAGGACGCCATATGGCATCCTCCCGGAGGGACGAAGTGTTTGCCCGGCCGCCATTTGGCCATAGACCGGGTGGCAACTGGTTAAAATCAATTATAGGACAAATATATAAAAATTATACACAAGCTTTTTTTTTCCCTTTCAATAAATGTTTAAAAAATGCACAGATAACAGGCAAATATGTGGTCTCACAGTGATACATATGGAGATGTAGATTACAATGTTTACACAGCCGGTGAGTAGTGAGTGTAAGAAACTCACATAGTCTTAACAACCTGGAAATCTACATTCAACCATTTAGGAAAAATTAATAAATCGTCAAGTTCCATCAAGGTGGATAAAAAAAAAAAAAAAGAGGGAAGAGCTCAACTAAATCCACAGACAGCAGCACAAGGGACACATCACATTGACTGTAAGTAATGTTCTTCATGCTGTTTTTTTAAAACATGTTTTGACAAAATTTAGGCTTTAAGGGAGGTAAGTAACCCATTTATCTCTATCTGTGGCACCTAAACACACACATGGTAGTACTTACATTGTTAACTTCAGTGGCTATAAACACTGAATAGCAAAGAGCAGGCTTGGGCAGCACAAATGGGAGACACTAAACCTGGGTATACATGGGGCATTTTTTTTCGCTCAACCAGCGGGTTGAAGGTAAAAAAAAAAAAAAAAACCGACATATCCTCATATTATTATCATATTATCCATTTATGTGTTTGATTGTCATGTTCCACCAATATGGTGTTTTTTTTAACTTAATAAAAGATGTTAAATCATTTTTTTGTACAATTGATATCGTTTTGTATCTTTAAAACCCCATTAGTTTTTTCTTGCTAGGGTTATATTTAACTACATTTCCAATTAAGGGTGTGGTACCAGTAAAACCTACCCATAAGGATCTGGAGAGATTTTCTGTCTCCATCTTCCACCCCATGTATATCTAATGCACATTTAAAAGAATGGGCTGCCATGCCTGCGCAAACCCGGGCCGTAAACTCGCATAGATGTGAATCAAGCATTAATGTCTTTCTAAATATATAAACTGTTTTAAACAAGTCATCCATTCATTTGTTAGTCTAAGACTCTAAGTGGTTTTCCCATTTTCAGCAAATTAACACCCTCTTTTCTCTAATCTGGTTGAGAACTGTATAAATTAACAATAATAATAAACATAATATTAATTATGTAAAGCCTTTTAAACTGCTTAAGGATCAGTTAAAGCAGAACTAATCTGAAAAAGAAAAAAATGTGAGCAAGCAGGCTCTTTACAGCAGAAAATACATGCTATGTCTCTTCTGCAATAAAAAAAAAAAAAAAAAAAAACACTTACCTACCTGTTTGAAATCTGCTTTAGAATGTACACTGGGCTGTGCAGTGTTCATTCTCGTATATATTGATTCACTTTTAAATTATTCTCCTATTGAGGATATTCATTTGTTTAGTATGTGTTTTTTAAAGAATTTTACACAAAGAGAGTAAACAGTCAACATTAAGGTGAACAAAGATGATCAAAATGATAAGCCCGTAAGAAACAAATATTGGTCAACAGATGTAAAAATAAAGAGTAATAATTGATATACGAGCGCTAGGTGGAATAGAATAAGCAGCTGGCATTAAAGGTCAACCTCCAACCCTCATAAAACATACATATTCAGAAATGCAGCGCTATTAAAAATTATGACTTATAAAACAACAAAATAAAATATAAATATAAATATAAAAATGCGCTGTGGAGCGCTACAATAAAGGTGATAATAGCATCTAGATATGACGCATAAGGTGCGATATTGACATCCAATAATGAGATAAACATCCAATATATAAAAAGGTGAACTTCCGTGCTTCCAGTGGATGTGAGAATGAGTATATATTGCACTAACCAGATAGCGCAATTAAAAGCGCATTTGAGTACATAGACCACTCCTGGTCATCAGCATCCTAGGGGTAACCTCTGGGATCATCTGGTATACATCCGCACATCAGCTGATCATTCGACTGCTACTCTCCAGATCTCCAGGATAACTCCAATCCAGATGTAAATGGACCAAAAATGCACTAAAGGAATCCACCTTAAAATGCTCATGAACAAATGAGCCAGAAAAAGAGTGCTTGATAGTGCAGTATATTTTTATTATGTCAAAAAATTACAGCAAAAAAGACTTTGCACTCACATCTGGCAAGATGAATATGGAAACAGATTCAAAGATGGCCGCCGGCCTTCCTCATGGCCTGTGCTGCGTGACGTCACTGGCTTGGCTCCTCCCTAACATGTTTCGTGCTCGTGCACGTTATCAAAGGGAGCGTGCCATAACCAGAAGCTTGTTTATATACGGAGCCACGCTCATGCGCAGTACAGCGATTAGATGCCATATTGGTGAAGCCGTGCATGCGCGGTACACCTGAGAGCGCCCATCTTAGTGACTGGATTCAGAAAGCAGACAGATGGGGAGAATGCACTTGTCATATAGTTGAATGGGTCAGTATTAAACAATCGGGGCAAACAATCTCCCCTATTACAATCACAAATTATAATATTAAAAAACAATCCAACTCATGATCTGACAATAATGTTTAAAAGGTAGTATGAACAAACTAATGTTTAAAAAGTATGAACAAATAGTATAGGAATTAAATACATAAAAAGCAGATGTGTACCAGCATATGTAAATAAAGACGATAAAATCCATAATCAATATTATAGATAAAAAGTATGGGTTAAACCAGATACGATACGATGATATGCGAAATAATCATCTCAAAAAATATGGTAAAAACAGACAATTGTTATAATGAATTAATATAAATTAAATAAAAATATATAATTACATATATAAAAAATTATATATATAAAAAAATCTAAATAAAAAAATATCTAGAAAGAAGGCACTGGAACATAAAAGCTAAAAGAAGAGACCTAAAAGTAATGCGAAAAAACCATAAAAAATATCATGGAAAATATCAAACGTAAAAACCATAAAAAATAGAAACCATACTATACACATGAATAAGGGAAACAGAATAAAATAAAGGATTAAGAGTAAAAATTTATATAATTTATTCTGTATAAAAAGGTAAAAGCTCAAGGAAGTCAAAATTAGCTTGTGTCGATAAAACAATTAATGTCAAGATCAACATTCAAGCCATGTGGTATAAGTGAATGTAATTAGAAAATCCATTTTGTTTCCATCATAGATAAGTTTCTACGTTTGTGCATTCCTCTCCAATGTTTCTTAATAATGTCTATGCCCACAAACTTGAGACAAGACGGATTCCTATTATGAAAGTCACGAAAATGCTTGGAGCGGGAATGTTCTTTATATCCTCTTTTGATGTTATATAAATGTTCCCTTAATCTGTCTCTAAGTCTTCTCGTAGTTCTCCCAATGTACTGTTTACACAGGGACATTCTAGAAGGTAAACCACGTGCATGCTATTGCAAGTGATGAGTGACTTTATATCATACCTCTTTCCTGTCACACTAGAGCAAAAAGGTTTCTTATGGATTCCATTATGGAGACATAGCATGCATCTGTTACATGGGTAAAAACCTTTTAGGCCAAAACCAAAAGACACTTGCTTGGGGGGTTGACCACATTTGGCGCTAAAGTGTGCCTTAATGAAAGTGCTTTATGATAAGTGATTTCAGCGTGGTCGGGTAAAACATTACCTAGTACTGGGCCATTCTTCAAGATAGTCCAGTTCTTTTTAATAATTTTAGCGACCTCTTTGTACTGTACGGAGAAGTTTGTAATGAAAGGACAGAATTTATTCGATTTAGAAGTCGTTTTAGAGACAAAAAGATCCTCTCTGTTCAAATCACCAACTTCTTTGATTTCTTTATCCAAGGTAACCGGGTCATAACCCTTTTCCAAAAATCTATTTCTGAGAAAATTAGCATGCAAAACAAAATCCTCTTTCATGTTACAATTTCTGCGTAGGCGCAGAAATTGTCCTTTTGGAATATTGCTTAACCAACTTGGATGATGGCAGCTGTCCATAGGCATGTAACCATTTTTGTCTGTAGCTTTAACAAAAAGTTTTTGTAAAAATCCCAGGGCTTTGGTTAAAAAGGGTGGGATCTAAAAAGTTTATTTCACTATAATCGTGTTGGTAGGTGAGAATATTCAAGTCATTAAAATTAAGCGTGGTGAAAAAATTAATAAGTGAGGATTCATCTCCTTGCCAAAGTAATAATATATCATCTATATATCGTCTATAGAAAATAAGAGCTGGCCAATCTCTAGCATAGGTTAAGTCCTCTTCCCTTCTGGATATAAAGAGGTTGGCCAGACTAGGGGCAAACTTGGCAACCATTGCTACGCTGTCGTCTGCAGATAATATTTATCACAAAGCCAAAAATAATTGTGGCTCATTACAAAATTGAGAAGTTCAAGAACAAAACTTTTCTGAGCCATTGTGATATCTGTGCCTGTGTTGAGATAAAATTCAGCAGCAGTCATTCCATCTTCATGTTTAATGTTGCTATATAAAGCAGCCACATCTGCAGTAACCAGATAAGGCGGGGTATGGAGTGTTATCTCTTTCAGATCTATTGGTATCCTTAAGGAAAGTGGGGGTATCACAAACCAAAGGTTGGAGAAAGTAGTCAATGTACTCTCCAACACGTGAGCAAAGGGAGCCTATGCCGCTTACTATGGGCCTTCCAGGGGGATTGACAGGGTCTTTGTGGACTTTTGGCAAACAGTAGAGTATACGTAATCTTGGGGCAGCTGGTCAGAGATAGTTTCTTTTTTGTTTAACCACCTTCCGCCCGCTCTATAGTACAATGACGGGAGCAAGGTGGTTCTCTCGTTCTGATAGAACGCCATATGACGTCCTTCCATTCTCACCGCGCATGCGCGGCTCAGGGAACGTGCAGCGTGGCGATCGCCGATGCGCTGTGTCCCTCGGACACAGCGGATCACGGAAAGAGCCGAAGATGTCGGCTCCGTCATGTGATCAGCTGTGTCCAATCACAGCTTATCACATGTAAACACGGAAATGCTGGTTATCGGCATTTCTCTCCTCTCCAGCTATCAAGCTGACAGCTCGAGAGGAGAGGAGAGCCGGCAATCGTCTTTCCACGGAGGGGACATGTACACTGATCATCAGGGCAGTGATGATCAGTGTGCCCTGATGATCAGTGTTGCCTCAGAAGTGCCACCTGTCAGTGTCCATCAGTGCCAGCAGTCAGTGCTCATCAGTGCCACGTGCCAGTGCCCATTAGTGCCACATCAATGCCACATATCAGTGCATACCAGCGTACATCAATGCCACATATCAGTGCCCATCTAAGCTGCCTTTCAATGTCACCCATCAGTGCCAGTCAGTGCCACCTATCAATGCCAATCAGTGCCACCTATCAGTGCTCCCAATCAGTGCCACCTATCAGTGCCAGTCAGTGTCGCCTATCAGTGCGCATCAGTGCCGCCTATCAGTGCGCATCAGTGCCGCCTATCAGTGCCAGTCAGTGACGCCTATCAGTGCCAGTCAGTGTTGCCTAACAGTGCCAGTCAGTGCTGCCTATCAGTGCCAGTCAGTGCTGCCTAACAGTGCCAGTCAGTGCTGCCTAACAGTGCCATATATCAGTGTCATGTATCAGTGCTGCCTTTCAGTGCCCATCAGTGATGCCTGCCAATGCCCATCAGTGCAACCTACCAGTGCCTCATCAGTGCCCATCAGTGCCACCTATTAGTGTCCATCAGTGCAGCCTATCAGTGCCCATCACTGCAGCCTCATTAGCGCACATCAGTGAAGGAGAAAAATAACTTATTTCCAAATTGTATAACAAAAACTAAGAAAAAACTTTTTTTTAAAAAATTTTTCAGTGGTTTTTGGTTTGTTTAAGAAAAAATAAAAATCATCATAGTACCTATCTATGACTGGGCCTCATTGTTGTATGGAGTGTGCTGGACTCTTTGTATTATAGAACCAATAAACTGCCTCCATCATTATATATTTGGAAATAAAGTATATTTGAAGATTTCCAAAACCTAGTTTCTAACTTGAGCTTCAAAGTTCAGGTTAAATTTGAAAGGAAAGCTATATTTTCCCAAAGGACTTATTATAAACCACTAAAACAGTTTTTTAAGTGGGGTTCGGAGGAACCATTGGGCACCACGAGAAGTTCCCTGGGTTTCTGCCACTAGCTGTTGTTGCAACAAGTTTATATTGAGCTAACATTAACTCCACTATTCCCCTTGCAGCTATTTTAAGTACTGCCAATTGGAGTTCCAGCTCCTGATGTCACTGAGCGATGTAGGATAAAGTAGAGGCCTGATGAGAATAAGGGGTACGGTCACATATATCTAGCGGTGCAGGACCATGTACTGTATATTTGGTAAGTAGAATCCAATGAATAGGAGATCTGTGCAAAATTTTTAAAATCTTTAGTTTTGGATTGAATATGAATAGAAATCATTAAAATTGTTACCTGGATTGGATTCTGAAAAACTCAGCCCAGTCAAGTTTTTACTCTGATTCTGAGTAAGTTTTATGAGTAGAAATCTCTAAAACACTTTGATCTTACTCCTAGCTATTAGATAAAGAATAAACAGGTGGCGCACACACCTGTTTATTCCTTATCTAGTGGATGATCTCCCCATCTGAGGAGGGCTGCACCCCTGAAGCATCTCATTTGGTTGTCGCTGTCCTTGTTCCCTAGGCTTCCCTTTGTCTGTGCATTTCCTGAGGCGCTGGAGAGTACATACGATATCACTCCTAGCTATATGTGTGTTCTTGCTGCTAGTTGCCACTCCCAGGCTGTTTAATGCACAATTTTATATATGGATGAATAATTGTTATTGCTTTTTTCTCTTAATATTCAGGATTACACAGCCAACTCATAAGCTCCAAACGTCCTTCGGCATGGTCTTCTGGCCTGATATAGTTCATTTTTGTACCTGAACAAATTATAAAAGTCTGAAAAGCTCTGTTCAGTTGTGCAATCAGTTCCACTGCAGAGTGGAGTTTGCACTGAACACCAATATAATGTAAATTTTGCACTGAACATAAATGCAGTGTGGGTTTTGCATTTATTTTTCTATTTATTGTTATATCTCCACATTTGTCCACAACTCACTAATCTCACTAACCTGTTGTGGGCTGCAGATCAGAAACTTTTTCCAGGGTTCCTCCGATACCTTTTTTAAAGGATTCCTCCAGGGCAAAAATGTTGGGAAGGATGTATTAAAAATGTAACTGTATGATTCTTTCATAGGGAAAAGTAATATAGAATATTTATATACCTACACAAACCATTTTGTAATTTAACGCTATTAAAATAATTTCATTTCAATCTAAAGCCAGCTATAATTTTCTAAAACGGCCATTAAAAAAATGCTGCTTTCCTGTAAGCACTGTAACTGGGGGTGTGTACAGAATGTTCCCAGAGAAGTCATTTCTTGTTAATATGATTGGTTCACTGGTTTTCTCAGCAGTGTGTCTTATTAGCACACTGGGACCAATTATGTCACTACAAGACACAGACCCTCCCACTGGGAACACAAAATGAAGAAAGTAAGTGGAATAGAGGTGTGAATTTCTAGCAAAGCAGCAGAACGAAAGATTCTGTAGTGGTGTTTATTAACATCCTTGCAAAGTATGTCACTGATATAGACAGGATTATTTTTTCTCAACCAAGGAAGAAGTGGCATCTCAATGTGTGCAGTAGATAACATATTGCCTGATTTCTTTCTGTTAGGTGATGTGCTCTCATAACAGCAGTTTGATGTATAATATTGCAATCATTCTTGAAGCAAATCAACTTGAGAGTTTAAGTAGCAAAATGAGAGTTCATTATGAATTTATATGGTCACATACAGCAAAGATAATTTTTGAATTGGTAAACAGTGCATTCATTACCTTTACTCCATAGTTGAATCAACAGAGTGTTGTTCAGGGGTTGATTAAGAATAATAAGCCCACAGTTCAAATGTTCTGCAAGGAAGAGAGAAATACGTTAAGAGGTGTTATCATATAAAGAAAAATCAACAAAAACATCTCGCACAAAAACACTTTGACATATAAATGGTGTGAAATAACTATAGAACTTTGGACTACTGTAAAAATAAGTTGCTGACACCAATGATCCATCATTGACATACTGATGTCACTTGCTCAGTGTAATTGTGATAATTAGTATTTCCACCAGCTAATCAAGAAGAATTCATTGCAAGATCCACCCACACCCAAATGCAATTCAGAACAAATGGCCTCACATCAAAGTGGATTACACTGGAATTTGCAGACATAAGTTTGCAACCATGCAAATAAAACACTTTGGGGTCGATTTGCTAAAACTAGAGAGTGCAGCTGAGCATGGTAGCCAATCAGCTTCTAACTTCAGCTTGTTCAATTAAGCTGACAAAAAAAAAAACTGGAAGCTGAAGGTTTCTATACAAAAGCTGCACCAGATTACAGTTTTAGTAATCAATCCCTTTATTTTCACAGGTCTTAACCTCCCAAAAACCTCCAAAAGTGTGACGTCAGTGATGTCCTAACAAACAGGTATCTAAACACCAACCAACTAAAAGAAACATATTTCCACTGCCTATGACTTCACAATGAGGTTCAAATCCTGGCATGCACATACATAAAAATGCACTCATGTATAAACACAAAAAGCTATTATTGACCAATGACATGTTCATCCTGAAAATATTAATGAGCTCCCTGCATAACTCACATAAATCACTATGGGCATTGACATGTACATGTATATTGAAAAGAAAATATTCCAAAATTGTCAGCTGTTCCCTACATAAATGCTGGAGTGCGCCCTTCATAAATGCACCATAAATTATGTTTTTTTTTGTAACAAGTATGAGTATTTTCAAATGACTTAATAGACTCCTTAATTTTTGTGATTTCAATTTTTTTTATGTAGCGTTAACAATGGAAACAAAATGGCCAAAAGTGAAAAAATGTTGACATATGAATGCTAAAAAGAAAAATCTGCAGAAAAAAAGAAGAAAAAAAGGCAAGAAGAAAAGGAAGAAACAGCTGACTTAAAAAAAAAAAAAAATATATTTTTTTTTTTTTTTTTTTAACAATTGCAGGTTCACTAGTACTGTCATTATGTGCAGATTAAAGGACAATACTTTAATTTGAATGCAAGCACTAATAGGCCTTATGCACAAGGGACGTCTGAAAAAGCACATCTGAACGCCATTACTGCTGGCAGGAAAATGTGGCATGTAAAATGTGTTTTTACAGGCTGGAAAAAAAAAAAAACAACACTCAACATCTGTGCAAGCAGTGTTTTTTTAAGTTCCTTAGCTAGCCACACAGAGGAGTTGCTTCCTCAGAACATTGACAGCAATAGCGGCTTCAGCTCCAGCTATGTCCCACTACCACCCCAGCAATTGAGGCAGGAACCTTTCCAGCCTCTGTGTTGGCCCAGCTCTGCATTAGTACATCAATTATGCTTTTTCCTAAAAGTTGAATTCAACACCCTCTTCCCTGGGTATAACCAATGAATCATTGGCCCTACTTGAGGACACTTGCTGGACATGGACAGCACTCAACTGACTCCACAGACAAGAATAGAGAGGAGACCTGCAGATGAACTGAGCCTGGGGTGCTTGTTATGCATAGCAACATTTTTTTTCTTTGCTGGCTGTTAAAATATTGGGTGAGAGGATATTTAAAAAGTGGAGTTCCACTCAAAAGTGGAAGCTCCACTTATTTGCCTCCTCCCAACTTCCACTGCCATATTTGGCACCTTTTAGGGGGGAGGGGTTAGCAGGTACCTGGCTTTAACACGTACCTGCTCCCACTTCTGGCTCAGTTCGCCGCGGCAAGTGAGGCGGAAGTTTGGCCCCCTCCTTCCTCCCACAGTCTCCTGCAAACTTTTCCCAGGAGACTGCTGGACCAATAAGGAGGCGCAGTGTGACTCACGCATGCAAAGTGGACACCAGGCTGTGAAACCGCAAGCTGTCACAGCCTGGTGCCCACAGTTGAAATGCCCGCACCGTGGAGGAAAGGAGAGAAGGGACTGTGCGGGTGAGAAGATCGCTGGACTGAGACAGGTGAGCGTGTGTTTATTAAAAGTCAGCAGCTACAGTTTTTGTAGCTGCTGACTTTTAATAAACACAAAAACGGCTGGAACTTCACTTATAATAAGCAAATTAGTTAGCAGACTTTAGGATTACTTTAACACTTCATACAGATGATTAGTATACGATTGATATATTTTTTTTTTTTTTTTTAAATACTGCACTTTCTGTTTAATGCATGTCATGTTTGCCCACTTACAAAGAAATGAAGGGTCTATCATTTTCATCATAGGTGTATTTTAAATGATAGAGACAGGATATCAACCAAAAATCCAGAAAAAACACATGACACAAAAGATAGAAATTGAGTTGCAGTTTAGTGAGTGAAATAAGTAT